AGGTGCTGCATCCTACCACTATGGACCCTTCCGTGATCTTGTTAATAACACCACGGATGGGCCGCTCTGCTAGTGGTGGGTCTCGGGGAGGCTGGTCTCTGTTTTGTTCCCTACTCGACTATGGCACTTATCTTATCTGGTCAGCAGGCCGCCTTTGGTCCTCCCACTTGATGAACTGCTTCAAATAACCTCGATGGATCAGCTCCTCAATCTTGTCCTTAAGGTTACAGAAATTCTTAGTGGTGTGGCTAATGTCCTGATGGAAGTGACAATATTTGTTAGGGTTCTTGTTGGCAGGGTCCCCTCTCATCTAAGCTGGCTATCTCATGCCTAGTCGTCTTGATCTACATCAGAATCTCTCCCCTCTTTGCGTTCAGTGTGGTGTAGTTACGCTTCTGGATAGGAGGGGTGTGAGAACGCTGACCCAAGGACCTACTACTTCTGTACGGAGGCATGCTTCTTCTCTAAGGCAACCTACTACGATGGTTGTAGGGGGATCTGTTGCACCTTGGGGACTTGCTTTTCTGATGTTGTTTGTTGCTCCCCGACTCGTCTTCTGACCTCTTTTTCTTGCCGCTCAGCTCCAACCAGGATCCGAATGCTTCTTCGACCTTTGTAAACTTGGCTACTTGGTTGAGGAGATCCTTCATAGAGGCCAGAGGGTTCAACTCGACCTCCTAGTGCAAGTTGGGATGTCAGACGTTGTTGACCGCTATGATGAGTTGGACGATTGGGTCGAGGTTGGGAATCTAAAGTCACTCTAGGTTGAATCACTTGATGTAGTCTTGGAGCTTCTGGTCAGGTCGTTGGACGACATTCAACAAACAAGTCATTGACTTCGGGCACCGCTTGCTTGTCGCGAAGTGTGTAGTAAACAGGTCAGCGAACTGGTTCCAACTTTTGATGGAGCCTACGGCCAGCCCTGAATACCACATCCGAGTTGTGCCCCAGAAGGTGGTTGAGAAGGCCATGCAAAGGCTCGCGTCGTTTGCCCATGTAGCTGCACCAAGGCCTGGAAGCTGTCGAGATGGTCGACTGGGTTAGTTGTCCCATCATAAGATTCCAGGCTAGGGGCCTTGAAGTCTTTCGGCCGAGGGGCCATGAGGATCTCAATAGCTAGTGTCAAAGTTCGGGACACCAGTTGTGCTGACGAGGTGCCGATCTGACTCACCTCCTTCTTTTCTTCCTGTTCCCTTTCCGCCTCCTCATCATTCGGAGCGAGGTGACTCCTTCCTGTGGTATGACATGTGCGTCTGCGACACTTTCTCCATGACCCCTCGATCGAGCTGGTGGCCTCAGTCCCGATCGGTGTTGTGGCCCAACTCATTCCCTCAACCAGGATTTGGTTTTGGTCGTTGGAGCGACGATGTGGGTCAGGTACTGGGATTTGATTCTGGTTGCTAGGCTGTTGGTTTTGGTTTTGCCCAACGGCCTAATCTTGTTGGTGCTACTGTTGTTACTGTTGTTGTTGCATCCTTGCTAGGGCAGCAAAGCGTCCTTCCCATGTCCTCATCTGCAGGTTTTTCCCATGGACGTACTACCTTGACTCATTGAACTGGCACACATTGATCTCGATAGGAACTATTAAGGGCTCGACTGGTGGGAGAGGCGCATTCACATTGGGCATAGGGAAGTTGGGATTTTGCATGACGGGGACGCCTAGTAAGGTCAAGGGCACAGTAAACTGTCCAATAGTCACAGAGGGGATTTTGGGGTGCACAGCTGGTTGTTCCTACCCCTACTGAGTTGTTAACAGGGTTGTTGGTGGGAGTGTTGTTGGAAGATGTCATTGAAGATATACTTCGAAAGGAAGTGTGAGAGTATGACTTTCGTACAACGTTCCCACAGACAATGCCAATTGATAATGTGCGATCTGGTAGCTCCTTGCTAGAGGACAACTCTGAACCGTCGGGCTATGTAGGTCGCTTGGTCAATCTATAAAGAAAGAGAGAAGATTAGAGTACCCGGGCTACTTTACCTAGTGTGGGCACTCCAATGTTTAAGTCAGTGAACTAGAGTTTTGCAAAAGCTAGAAACCAAGAGAAAGCTAGAGAGCTTGAATGCTAAATCACATGTACCTTATGAGGTTGGAGGTGAGGCCCTTATATAGGCGAGCTATCATGAGCCTTACAAAACGTGTCCGAGATCTCCGTTCCATTTGGTTCGGAGGTGGTTTCATGCTTGGAAGTGGACTCCGTGTAAGTAGGTAATGTCTATCAAATCCCACCCAAAGCGGGCAGGGTGATAACCAGCTCTTCCTACATGGCGTCATGGTCACGAGGAATTCGGGCGATGGCCCGCTTAAGAGGGAGGTCGCTCAACACATCAGGCAGGACGCTAACCGAAAACATGTCAAATCCGTGGAAGCAAGTTGCCTCTTACGCCGACTTGAGGTATTTCCTAGCTATTTGTAGTTCAACCTACTGGGGTGGTGCCGAGGTAATTGATGCAATTGTGCATTGTCTAAAGTGCTCCCGGGGTCTACTTACGTGGTGTCGAGGTGTCACTTTGTTGTTCTGCAATACCACATGTCGTGATATCATTGGAGAACCAAATTACTCCTCATCAACTACAAAATTATTATTAAAGGGAAAAACACTTCATGTCAAGGTTTTAAAAATTAAATCGGACATCGAACTGCTTTGGCCACTGGTTCCTGGGTCAACGGTTTGATTGTCTGGATTGAACAAGTAAAAATGGTCAAGGTAACTTTTGTATCTTCACCATTGAATTGGTATATTAGGTCAGTTTAGGAAGAAATATAAATAGAGAAAATGTATGTCAACTGGGAAAGGAAAGATAAAAGAGAAAGGAAAGAGAAGAAATAAGTAAAATTTTAAAATGTTATTAACAAGATTTGAATTCAAGACCTCTTACTCTCACAAATTACTCAATTACCACTAATTCACCTCTTTACTTATGTTAATTAATGACTATTTATTATACATATTATATTATTATCTATGTATTTTAAAAAAAAATAAGTTAAAAAGCTTAAACCCTAGTCATTTGTTTTAAAAATTAAAAAGCTTACCATCCATCCACCATATTTAAGTACATTAAAAGTTGTAAAATATATTACATAGCATTTATATGACCCGTATTATATATGTATATGCCACATCATCACGGTTTGACCTCCAGTTCAACCCAATCGAACCTTTGGCCCGTCAACCTCTCCCTTCCCCGATTCTATGCCCGATCCGATTCTCTGAACATTGATGCTATTAGACAACAGCAAGCCGATGGGAGCAGATCCAACCTCAGCTCTCTCTCTCTCTCTCTGATCTCAGATCTGTGATCCAATATCTCTCAGATCTGAGATCTCCTCTATTTACACTTTTAAATAAAACCGTGAACCACTGCCTGGGTCAAACAATTTAATGGTTTGACCACCCGAATCAGTGGTTCTTTGACCATTTCAACGGTATTTTGAGAATTAACGGTCCAAGGCAAAACCGGACCCAGAGACATGACCAGTTTCTGGTTCGAATGGTCTGACCACCCAGTCCGGTCTGGTTTTGAAAATCATGCTTCACGTATCTATTTTTACTGTAATACTATAGAGACTAGAGACCCTTGGACCATGTACGCCACGAACACCTCCAATCCTCTGGACGGCTGGGATCAAATCCATTCCATGGTCCATGGCTGCATGCCCATAATGTTAGCATTCTGATCTGAAGCTGACATAGCCAAAAGAAATTTTCAAAGGGCAAGGGAAAGCTGGTATTGGGGCTGTGACGAGAGATCATTTTGGTTGTGTACTCATGACAGCAGAATTTGGTGCGGCTAAAGATGAATCTACTATTCAGATGGATGCTTTTGCTGTTCTCAAGGGACTGGATCTCACCCGAAGGTGTGGAGTGGCCCAGGTTACAGTGGAAAGTGATTGTTTCTCTCTTATTCAAACTCCAGGAAGCAAGAACAGTGTAGGGGCTGGGGGATGTCTTTTCTACTGCATAAAGACATCCTAGATAAGTCCTTGTCTGTAGACTAGCCTTCTGTTGTTAATAGGTTTTCTACTTTTCTAATAGTGTGGCGCATTTGCTTGCGCAAAAGGGTTCAGTAGAGTCTGATGCCTTTTCGTATAGTTGTTCTAAGTGGTTTAGAGGAGGCTGTATGCCGAGACTCAATAGACCCTCCTGATGTGCTGCACTTTTTTCTGGTTAGTATATTCTCCTTCTAACAAAAAAAAAAAAAAAGAAAAAAAGGAAATTCAGACGTCTTTTTAGTCTCTACCAATGTCCCATGGCATATTGCTTCAAGAGGGGGGATCAACAAATAGGAGAATGACCAGAACTAAGCAGCAGCAGTCCTCGGCATTCTCAATGTGATCCCGCATACACAAGGATATAGGTAAAGTACCAAACTAAGTAGGGCAACCATCACTACCAGAGTACGGGAAGAAAACCCTTCACATTGTCGACTCCTACATGTATAGGATGGTTTCCATGTCAAAAGACTCAAAACCAACCATCAACCAAGTATTCAATAGGAAACTCTCACCTAACAAAGTAGGGCTACTTGATGAAATTACTACTGTTGGTGACAATCCAAGTATTCTGGAAAGCATGCATGCTGATGGACGCCACATTTTAATGTAGAAGAGTTCGGCCATGGGTGAACCTAACCCATCAAAAAACCATTGTGGTTGCCCATGTTTGACAGTTTGTGCTACCCACAGGCTCTCAACGTGACACGTCAGTCCAAACACCATGCCTTCACGTTAAAAGGCTGTTTCAACGTGACACGTTGTGTGAAGTTTATATGGACAAGCGGTTCAGCCACTCAGTGAGAGCCCTGTGGACAGCGGAGGCTGTCAAACGTAGACAGAATTTGTTTTCACAATCACCTAACATGGTGTTCTGGTCAGGGGAACTTTATGTTAATATGTTAGGTTGCATAGTCACCCAACATGAACGTGATCATGCTTGCTACAAAGAAATTCTATGCCTTTTTCCAGCTAAATTTCTTTTTAGGGTGCAAATTAAGGGATCTTGTCCTTAAATAAGAGTGTTATACTTTGCAGAGTGTACACATGAGACAACACAATTTCATAAAGTCAGCTCCTAAAATCTACGGTGCACACACATACAATATAATGTTAAAAGCACATAAATTAAGAAAAGCCTCCAGTTTGTGCAAGCACAGTATGTTCTCTGCACTGTACAATTCCACATGACACTAGACACCAATGAAGAGCAAACATGCAAGAAAACAAGTACCTCCTCATCATGCACCACAGCCTCTTCATTGATTGGTCATCTCTTCCGGCGCTTTGGCTCCACCTGTAACAGTAATTGGAATGCAATCAGAACAGACAAAATACAGGTGATAATATATTGCAAATGAGTATCAACATTAGCAATTTGAATGAAATTTTCAATTTAAAACCAAGGCTGCTCCACATACAATGCCAACCACTTCTCAACGTAAAACCCCGTCCCTATGTAATGATTAGCAGCAAGGTCTTTGGCTGAGTATCAAGAATCGGTGCAAAACATTGTATACAACAAAAGGAATGCTATGAGATCCTATCCATGATACTCAGAGAATCCAGATTTTGTGTTCAACTGAAATCAATTTTTAAGACAAATACAGGAGACCCGATACGATATGAAAGGAAAATGGCTTCAAAAATCAGAAAATACCCAAAAGAAAGACCAGTTAGAATGTTTAGATTTATATTGATCTATAACTCCACGATATGAACATGGGGACTACCTGAAAGAAAACTCCCTATGAGGAATGTCAAGGATAAAAGAAATATAAGATAATTAAATGAACTTTAGATGGTTCAAATGGAAAATGAAACTAAAACAAATTAACAATCTCTAAATGCCAAACCACGGATTCACTAATTGTCTGTATGCATTAACTCTCACATTAAATCCTCTTTTGTTGTGAATTATGCTTCACCTTCAAGTAAAACAACCGCTCACAGAACACACGAAGTGTCACAGGGATCAAGGAACCTATTAATGGATTTCATCTACTTCCTCGGATGCAAATCATATATTTTTAAAAAATAGTTCAATTTTTTACATGATAGACATTTGAAGTTCCTCAAAACATTACAGAGACAAATAAAAAATCAAATACACGAGAGAAAGCTTCCCATTATACAGTTAAGAAATATCAAAGAAAAAGGTGACCCACTGGCTATTGAAGTGTTCCTGCTTGATATCAGCAAATTGTTTGAGAATGTTAACCCATCATACAAGAGTCCTTTCAATTTTGCCAATAGCTTCCCTCTTGTAGAGCTCTTTGTTTAAAAAAGTCCTGCTATTTCTCTTTCCATAGGCACCAATATAAAGCAAAAGGAAACAAATATCAAACAATTTCCCCTAACACAGAAACCAGTCACCTTCCAAGAAGAAATAAGGTTGGATAGATTCTCACTGTAACCCACTGACGGCTGAAAAGTGTCAAGAAATGCGACCAGATCTAATATGTCAAAGCACAATGGATCAAAAGTGTTAGAAACTCAGTCCCCACCACAAAGGTAACATCTGTTCACAATTGCCATGCTCTTGTTGACAAGGTGATCTATGGTGAGAAGAGAAAATTATATAAAAGAGAAGAAATAAGAAGTGAAGAGAAATACCAACTCCTGTGCCCAGTCTAGGGCTGTCAATGGGTCGGACAGACCCAAACCATACCAACCCAATTATGTATAGGTCACATTATGTATCCCAGTTATAATTGGATGGCTATTGATTGGGTTGCTTCAAACCGATTATGACCTCGCCAACTATACATGTACTTGTATACATAATTATTATATGTATATTGGCATATTATAAAGATACCTAAAGTCTAATACCTTTTTTTCTCTTTCAACAAAAAGGAAACCTATTATGGTAAATGCGTTCATTGTCAAATTACAGGTTAAAATTATGGCTGTCAATTATAATCGGATCTTATAGGATCAGATCCAATAGTTCCAATTACTGATCCTATAGGATCCACTTTGGAACTGGTTCTGCATGTTTACTCAATGGGTCACTACATGGGTCTACCCTGTGGGTCAGACCAGATCCGATCTAATGACAGCTCTACAGTCTTCTATTTATATTAGACAAGTCATTCCAATGAACATTACCAGACTATCCTCCATAAAAATTAGAGTAGATGGATAAAATTTCCCTGATGCCTACTCTAGTAAATATTTCTCTACTTGTAACAGGAAAGCAGCAAAGGAACGTCTTCCCTATTTACCTTCAAAAAAGGATAGTTTCATTCATTAGCAAATAACCATATAGTTTGAAATACTCCACATGGATGCACAATCTTTGGACAGCCTAAATTATTCACATGAAACAATGACCATCGCAGAAAATCTAACTTTTATATGACCTTGTGATAGCCTGAAGCAGGTATAAATCTGAAGTAGTTTTGAAAATTATTATTAACCATGATCAGTTTTATAACTCGGATGGTTCATCTCCCATTCACGAGTTTGTATCTCAATAGAGTGACTTGGAACTCAAGTCCTAAAACGAAGTAAGCTAAGAGCTAAGCTATTGTTGAACAGTTGAAGGAGGAAATCTGCAATCAACCACCACAAAATAATCATCCTACATTATGGCATTGCCAAAAGAAAATTTCCAGTCACCCCTGCATCCTGCTTAAACTATTTTAAACTAGGTCCAAAACAATCAAATAAAATAAATGGTATTTAACTAAAACATTTGTACCAAGTTAAATTAGTCAACACAACAAAATACAGAATCATACTTATTGAAGATGAGTAGATCAAATGTCAATAAAGATAATCCCCCTTCTCATGCAACTGCAGCTTGAGTTCAGCAGAAGTTGTACACCCTATATCACTTTTTTGTTGACTTGCAGTCTAGTAGTTATATTGAATTAGACTTTCTCTAATCCAAAAAAAAAAAAGCAATCAAAATGCAAAGGAACATAAATCGTGCCATTCTATAAAACCCAAGAGGCCTCAAGTCAGATTTTTTTTTTATATTAAAGCAGGATTTTCATAAAAATGAAAAGAGAATAAAAAATGAGTGATACAAAATCATTGAGAGAAACAAAAGAACAACCTTCCCCTGTTCTTGCATATCAACAAGCAACACAAAATACAAGGATGACTCAAAAAGTAATGTCCGATTTCTCATAACATAAAATAAATAATAAATCCATAATACAGTAGAACAAGCTGGGACAAGGCTTTATTGAGTTAATTTGTACCAAGTAGGAAAAGATTCTGTCAGGGCAAAGTAAAGGTAAACACAACCAAAGTCCTAACAGAGAAAAGTATTTACCAAACATCCTATTTCTCAATACCATTTGACAGATTTTAACTTAAAAGTTCATTAATGAAAGTGTAACAAATAAAAAAAAAATGAATCATGTAGAGATATGTAACATTTTACAGAATTGATAACAAATGGAAGCAAAAAGACTTGTCTAATCATGTCCAAGACAATAAACCATCCTCCTCACCTTGAGCTCAACAGGTGGTGAGAGAGGAAATGTGTTCAGGGATCTTTTAGCATCATCATCAGACGAACAATCAGAACATAAGAAGTGATCTAACTTCTTTGCTTGTTCAATAGTCATGCCCATACAAGAAGGATGAAACCTGCAAGGACGATAGTAATGCATAAAAATATGTAGAAAAAAATCAAGAGTACGGTTTTTAGATAGAAAAAAAAAAAAAGAGTTTGCAAATATATAAGAACCAACTCCAAACCCAAAAGAAAACTTTGACAAAAAAGAAAAAGAATAACATATTTCAAAGAGATTTAAAAAAATACATTTTAAAGAGATTAGGCATTGCAAACAGAGCAGAATGTCTCAATTTAGATGGGAACCAGAACAAGAAAGAATTAAATAATAATAGGAACAGCAGCATACAAACCACTCAAATCAGGGATGTGATCCAATCCTCATATCTGAATTGACCTCAAAAAGGACACAAACTGCTGAACCAGCCTCCAGAAATGCACAATAAACTGACTAGATTAATGCAATGACAGTTTAAACTGAAAAGGGGGACTTACGTTTCTTTAAATAAATAAAAAATTGGCACACAACTGTATAAACAATTTTATGCACACCTTATAAGTAAATAAAGATATCAAGTTGTATGAAATGTGAGTGGTTTTGAGAGCCTCGTGCTTTTTTATCCTTTTTGAAAACTTCTACACTGAATCATAATTATCCACTCTAATTATAAAAAAAAAAAAAAAAAAAAAAAAAAAAAAACGTATATGAGTGGAGATTCATAATATGAAGAGAAGAGATGGGAAAACATTATAAATAATAGCAGGTAATGTGTTATTTACATAATTTACTTTGAGGCCCAAAATTGTAAAACAAATATAATCAGAAAGCAAACATTACACTGATATATAAGATGCTATCTTGTGTACTATTATTATTTACTTTGAGGCCCAAAATTGTCCCGACTATATGGGGATGGCTATCTGAATCCTGTTTCACCATTCCATTCTGTTTAGTGTCAAACCATCCATTGTTAAATTATGAGCACTTAAAATCATTTCTTACCACTTCAACCCCATGTCCCTTTTGGTCTGCCCCTCACCCTTATAGGTTCTAGCCCCTTCAACTTGCAATAGATCGCTTACTCTTAGATGTTGGTGGAGAATCAATAATAAATTAATAATATTATAGAACTGAACAAGCAAACTCTCCTTAACAAATCAAGGAGAAACTAATTTCCTGATACTGTTTCTTATATGGGGTATACTAGAGATGCCTTGGGTAAACTCATTTAGATTAAATATATGAAAATTTTCTTTTTCAAATTCTTAAGGTTTATCAAGAAAAATCTAATTAATCTTGTTAAATGTGTTTATAAATTGATAACAGATCCATATAATTAATAAATATTTTATACATTTGTACCCTACTCCTACCTTTGGATATTACGTGTATGGTCAAGAAAAACAAAACAAATGGGGCCCACTAAAAAGAGGAAGTCCATATACAGTTTTACTCGAAGGCAAAAGTGTGGAGGTTCAATTTTCAGTCTATCTTCTGGTCCTTGATTTGTGGTTTTGATTCTTACAACATCTTATATTTAGCATTCACTTTATGCAACGAAAGATGGTTGAAAAGAAATTTCTGCTTTAAGGAAAAAGAATTGGGGTTGACATAAAGATTGAGTTGGTTTTGTCTTTTTATTGGGGCTCTATAATATAGTTCTCTTGCAATCCATATGTACCTTAACTTATCATAAGAGATAAGACATGCACAATGCCATGCAACATTCTATGATGAGTTACCATACTTGAACATGATAACATTCTAAATGAATGCATGACATTATGATATAGAATTGTAATTTTAAACTATAGGTACTAATGCAAATTTTGTTATTATTTTGGAGGGTGGGGTGGTGTGGAGTGTGGGTAGGCTAAAATAAGAATTTGTCTAATAGATTATTCTACAATTAAAACGTAAGTAGACAAATACAAAATTCACATTGAAAGGAATAAATAATAAAGCAATTAGATACGCCTTTCCAAGTACACCTTTTCTACAGTTCCCTTGCATTCAGGGAAATGCCACCCATAGATGGGGGCTGGTAGTCACACGAAAAAAAACCTGGAGAATATTCTGCATGTATAATTCACATTCCTCAAATAAAAGGAAGCTGCAGTTATTTGTCCAGGACAACTGCACCAAAGATAATTGTAGAGTGATGTCACATAATTATTTTGTTTATTTTTTTAATGTGCATTGTCAAACAAATTCTTGAGAAAATAACCCAACAGTAAAAAAAATTGCAGCCTTATACAACAAATAATCTGAAGATTGTCTAGCGAAAAACTAACTTCTCTTAATGAAGCATCAGTGTTTTAAAAGGCACACAATCATTCTGTAGGGTGTTCCTTACCTGAACCTGTTTGATTAGATATATAAGTTGTAGATCTAATTCTCTGAATTTAAAGTTAGTACATGTAGGACTTGAACCTAATAGGTTATAGCTTTTGTGTTAAGTACAAAATTACTCTATTCAATTGAACTAACAGGATCTTATTTTCTTTCGGGATTTTGATTTGCACATTGTTATAATATTGATTTTTTCATTTTTATAAACAGCATCTCATTTAATTCAGGCAACACCTCATACCTAAGGCTCTAGGAACTCCTTGCCCTTTATTTGTGCTTTTTTTCTTTTTAAAACACTAGAATTGCCCATAGGTTATTCAGGGACTATGCTGGAACCTGGATCATGCTTTATTTACATGATTCATTGCTGAATAAGCTGGAAAGCGTGGAATAACCTGGACTCTTAGCCTCCTATGCCATTATTATCATAGATGGGTAATATCCAATTTTCCACCAAAAAAAAAAAAAAAACTGAAACAGAGACTGTGCAATGAATGGAGCCATATCTGACTCCCAGAGATTTATACTCCAAATCTAAAGCACAATCAATTGGAAGTAGCAGTAAGTGCAAGAAAACAGTAAGATCAAATATAGAAATGCAGCAACACCCAGCCTTCCACAGTTAAATTTCTACCATTGCTACAGAATTTTTATGAAAAACTCCTAGATATCAACCAAAAGAAACAAGCTCCAAAAGCAGTAGTTTCTAAACAAATCATTTACAACCAATGTGGTCAAAGTGTTGCCTAGGCTCTTCAGAGGCCCATTACCTAAGGGACAAACTAGGCAGGCGGTATATATACAAACATCTTAGTGGAGGTAAAAAGTAATTATGGATCTTGCATACATTGATATAAGCGTGTTCAACCCACTTTGGATCATTATGAGTGCATGTGAAGCTAAAATTTGGGGTTCTAAATCCTTCTGCACGCATGTGTGCTTTACATTGAGCCAGAGAGGTTATTAAAAATATTGTCATTTCTTTGGAAAATTATGTGTAATCTGTTATTAAATTATTTCCTTGTATATTTTGTAGTTTGGTGGTCTACAATTAAACATGTAATTGCACTATGCTTGTACACATGTGAAGCCAAACCGCTTAGGCATCACCTGCCCAGGGACTCGTCAAAATACACCATTGACATTAAGTACAAAGAAGGCAGAAACAATATCCATGCAATTCCATCTAGCAATCTTAAGATCTAAGATTGTGAATGTAATGTTCCTTAAAATTCATGACGGATGCAAAATGAACTCTGATGAAGGCATAAATATTAAATGACCCCAGAAGTAATGTTTAATATTGCAACTCCCACAAACGATCCAGCATAGTGCAGATTAGTGTAATCAAATGTGAGACAAAGTTAAAGGAAAATCTAAGGAACAAAAACAAAGTTACCAGTCTTTGCATCCTTCACACTGAACCATGAGATCGTCAGGATTATAAGGCATTTCGCACTTGCAATACCTGCAAGCTAAAATCAATTTCAAAATACATACTCACTCGAATAAGAAATTCAATGAGGAAAAGAAATAGAGCACTAAACTCACACTGCAACTCGGTCAGGGGTGAATCCCCCAGTAGCAGCTTTGTACTCGAATCGGCAGAAGTAGTCCTCAGCACCAACATTCTCAAGTTTGGTGTAATTCTTAAAAGAGTGGACAGTGCACTTCCCCTCAATAGTGTGGGCACTCTGCACATCATAATGGTCCGATAGAAATAACTCCTTGGCTCCATGGAACTGCCTCCTCCCTCCAATCGACTCCTCCGGTCGGTAGTACCATCTCACCCGTACCTTCACATTGTTCCGGTTATCTGCTTCGATCTTCTCCACTCGAGCAACATAAGGCGGCTTATCTGAGTCTGAGGGACGCATCAGAACACAATCTCCCGCTGCCAAATCCATTTAACCACCCAGCTTAGCGAAAAAAGAACTCTATCTTCAAGCATTTAATCTAACAGCTGAAGTTTACTAGAGGAAAGAAATAGAGAAAAATTACGTCTGACGATCTTGTTGGTGCCCTTGATTGTGTAGGAATCTAAGTCCTTCTTCCCCGGTTTCGTCTTCGCCATGACTGATTAGCTTCTATGCTTCGTTCACAACAAGGCTCTTTTAATCGAGAAAGAGGAATAGATAAAGAGATTAAACACTACCAGTCGGAAGCAGTTTTAAAGGCGAAATCAAAAAGATGAATGCATTGGTTAGATGATTATGGGAATGATTGTTCAAACCCTAGATTCTGGGAGAGGAAGTACGCAGAAACCCTAGAACTAGAACTCTTCCGAGAGGCAACTGACGACTGTATGAGGAGAGAGAGAATTTCCGACGGGGGCTTATGTTCGCATTCGAGTATGAACAGCTTCGCCACATCATCCCATGCACCCACACATACATACATGCATATTATACACATCCATGGTGTCGTATGTTTCTGTATTTCCTTGGCGTTGATACGTATTTTTGTACGTAGAGAGACGACAATTTGTCCTGTTGTTCAAGTGGATCACTGTCCACCGATTGTATCATGGTTTTTTTTTAGCAGGTCGTAGATCTCCAACAGATGATGACGATCAACGAGAGCGACGTATTGGTAATAAAATGGACGGCTGAAAACGATTTCTGCTTCTTTTGTTGATAAAAGTGTACCTGTTCCCTGTGGGATCAATGCGGTGTTTTGGTTTGATTCTTTGTGATGTGGACCGTTCAAAGTGGATAAGATAAATCGCAGATCAAGGTTGGTAAGGAAAAGCATTTCAAAAAGCAGGTTGAAGTTGAACTACGAATCGTGTGCACAAAGCCTCCTTACTCGTTATTAACTTTGATGGGCTTACACTTATCTCATGTCCACTGTTCACAGTCCACACTATTATTATTTTGATTTTTTTTTCTTTTGTATTGTTCAAATTTTGCACTATAAACAAATAGAACCTTGTAGAAAATATTAATAAGAGATGGTGTGAATTCTTATTTAGTGTTCTTTTAGGTCAAAGGATCCTCTTCTAGGATGACAGCTTAAATAATTCATTACATGACTCCACGTAGCAAATTTATGACAATTTGTGAGGTTCTTCGTTCACTTGAGGTAATCACAACGCCAAATACATGTATTATAAAGGGTTTGATTATGATTGGAAAAATAAAAAAACATATAACCAATCAACTGGAATTATAAACTTTTTGGGTTTTAAGTGAATCCACCTAATATTCACAGCTAATCTCGTATGTCAAGTTGTCAACAATAATAATTATTATTATTTTTTGTAAGCAAAACAAAAACAGGCAAGGATAAACACACAAATTTTGTTTTGTTATAAAATTTTAAAGTCCTCTAGGCTGAATCATGAATTCATTTCTCTTTTTGTCAATTCTCCACCCAACCCAAAATTATAAAGTCATATAGGTCGGCCAAACATTATTCGCATATACTCGGCTACTATCTTGTGGGACACGGTGCTCAATTTGGTGTTAACAGGGATACGAGTCAGGCAGGATGGGTTAAGGTTTAAGATCAACATAAAACCATAGTCCCAATCTTAAGAATTGGGCCAGCCTAGATCAGGCTTGATTTGTTATACATAAGCCCATTTTAAATAGAAATTTGACATTTATGGTTAGGCTCAGACTTAGGCTAAATTTGGATTGATCAATGAGGATCAGGTGGGTCTATTTAAGCCCAATATGTTAACAGGTTGCCCTGAACTGCTTTTTAAGTATTACATAATACAACATTACCAAGGGACTAAGGGGTAGGGACAAAGGAAAGTGCACACAAGGTCCATTAACTTTACCATAGAAAGCAATGATCCAATGTTTCCATTTTGGGAGGAATGCCAAGTGGCCATCTTAGAGGATGTTTGGAAGTGTGACCATTTTTCAAAAAAAAAATTAGTGTCACGTCGGATTAATATAAGCATTTCAACAAATGTTCAATGTATTTTATTGTTTGGTTCAGTCAATTATTAAAATACCGGGCATGCCTTGAAAATCGGGACCCCACCGATGCATGAAACGCCAATATTGACTGATGTGTATCCTATGTAGTACTTATTTGTCAGCACGTATATAAAAAATAGTGATGAAAATCACCTTACCAAATAACATAGTGTTACTCACTGCCTACGTAGCAAAAACGTTTTTTTATGAAAAACGGGTCTTAAAAGCATGAGTGTTTTTCTTGAAAATCAGTCCCAAAAAATGCCTACACTTTCAAACACCATGTTAGTTATTGGGTCATTGGCTACTCTGGGCGTATTTAGTATTAGTAATTTAAACCACCATACGAGAATTTTGTATATTTTATATTTATTGTGTATGCACGAAAATGTATATGCATGTGTAAAGTCGTGCCAATCTTGAATTTGGCTAAAGTCAGATCAGGCTCAAGTTGTTACTAAGTGTCATGCCCAAGTCTGGCTAAAAATTGAGAAGGCATGAAGTTTTGGCACAGACCGTATTTCCTTTGTGTTTTTTTTTTTCGATTAATTTGAGAACCAATGATAGATTGTAATACCATGGCGACTTAAATGTTTGTTTGTTTTTTACATCTCATGGATCTCTTCCTTGTAGATATTGTGCAAAGATACCATAACAAAATGGTGTCTTTGCAACGTCTCCTTGAAGTAGCATGTGGCATAATGTTGCACATGAATGTGCCATAAATGTTTTGTGATAGATGTTGTGCTTGTTGTTGTTTATGTAATCAATGGCATGCCCTCTTTACAAGGTCCTTCATCAATTTTTATTTCCTCAAAAGGTAGTGAAGACAAGGTTTGTAGATTGAACAATTTTCTATATGGGTTAAAACAATCCCTTAATTTAGTAGGTTTCATATGGTTGTTTAATAGATCGGTTTTAGGCAAAGTTAGTCTGATTATCCTCTTTATTAAGAGGGGTTAGGGAATGCACAATTTATAGTTTATGTAGATGACATTGTCATCAAAGTAAAATGTAAAAAGACAAAGTGGATAATAGATAACACCCATTATCAATTCTTTCATTGGCCTTTTTCTTCTTTAGCTAATGGGTTAGCTAAGAGGGTGTTCGGTAGCGTGAAAATATCAAGGGCGAGACCATTTTGGCCTTGTCCATGATATAATGTGGTGTTCTGCTTTGTGTGGACAGTCTACATCTGCAAAATAGTGTGGACAGGGACGGGCCATAGCCCAATTTATCATCCACATTATTTTTTCATGGAGAGACCACATTATAAACTTGTATGTTTTTTCTTTTAATCATTTATTAAATTTTTCATAATTCGAATCGGATCGGATTAGATTTAGATATCTGAAATTCTTAATTGATTCAAATTCAAATCACCATTTGTGATCGGATTAAATCTTGTATTCTTCTATCAGATCGAATTCGGATATACCTTGATTCAAAGCCGATCCGATTCATTTGCACCCCTATATGATTGATTGTATAAATTATCTCACAAGTTGTACATGAAATATATAAAATCAATAGGTGTGGTGTGAACAAATCCATACTAACCTGCAAAACGCCCCTATGAGTGTAGACAATTTCTTTTCACATAGTTTTGTCTGTAGTTTAGTACAATTGTAAATAGTAATTTGGTGTGGATTGGTTCTTGCCATAGTGTGGTATAAACCAATACACACCCGTGAATTTTTCATCCATGTTATAGAAAACCCCTAAATTTGATGGCTAATTTATGGGTAAATGGGACCAATGCTAACACCTCACATCAGTCATAAATGTGAAGTGAGAGATTAAGGCCACATTGGTATTTATAATTGTAAAAGCAATTAGTACATAATTGTTTATTATTACTTTAACACTCCTAGATGCCATTAGGTACTACTAAGTACCACACAACAAGAAAGGTGAAAAGCATTTTATGAGAACAATAAACACCAAAAATATATTTACATCAAAGGTCACTTTTACATAACGCGATGAAGGGAAGCATAATTACTTTAGTTAAATGTTTTGATCACCCACCTACTTTAATTAGTCCAACCAAATAAGAAGTTACTTTCAATTATAAAAAATAAAAAAAATAATAAGAAGTTAATTTGAGTAAAATGAAAACATCTACATTGTGTTGATTAGGGGTGCCCATGTTTTGGGCTTGACCCGCATATATTATACATGTCACATCATAATATCCATGCATAAAATATATAATACAACATAAAATAACATGTATTGATATGCATATATTATATAAAATATGTATACTAAAATAAATATGTGCAAGTTAGACTTGAAATATTAGGCCTAGGCCCGATCCTGGAATTTGTAGGCTTGATGCCTACCTAAGCCAAAAATGGGTTTGAACACAAAACCTAAGTCCAAACCTGAAATTTCTAGGCTAAGCTGAAACCCTCACCCCTATATTGCTGATGAGATGGCATTTCTTTGAGAAACAACCATAATACTAAACATATATTGATATATATGTGTAGGTGCATGCATGTATATTCTTTTTTTTTTTTTCTTCTCATTCCTATCCCATCTACTTGTAGAATGATTTGTAGTGGTCAAAATAGTATTACGCGCCTTCTAATTCTTTTATCTTAATTACTATATGATGCCAATACTTGCCTTGGTTTCACTTATCTCCCCTCTCCCCATTCTCCATTTATCTTTCTCTCCTTGCACACACTCTCTTAGGGGCGGATCTGAGTCGAGCTGAATATGTGGCTATTCAAACTTGGCTTGGAAAAAAAAAAGGCTTTAATTTGAGCTTGGGCTCAAACTTGATTTGAACTATAAACATGAGCTTAAATTTGACTTAACTCAAAAGTTCATATATTCGAGCTTGGCTTGACTCAAACTTGATGGTGAACCAAGCTTTTTATAAAAAAAAAAAAAAAAAAAAAAAAAAAAAAAAAAACTATGCATAAAAATTAAAAATTATACATGTTATTATATACAATATAAGCTCAATTAGGTTTGTGAGTTTCACAAGTCATGTTTGACTCAAAACTCAATTTAAACCAAGCTTCTTATGAGCCAAGCTTAGTTCATATCCACCCACCCCTCTTTGATGCATTTATACATAGGTACAACTCAACTAGTATTATACAAACAGATGAGAATTCAATAGTATTTCAGCTGCCATCCATTCTATGTTAATAGATAGATGGCTCCCTCTAGAGGACACTATGCGCATTTGTACCGGTGCAAATAGGAGACAAGGGTTTTATGAGCACCACTCATATAACATTGGATGTACATCTGAACCATTTGCTAACATTCCTCTAAAATCGTGGCAACACTTATTGAGGAAATCTAGTGGACAAGAACTTTAACAACACAGTATGACCATCCAAATAAAACAGAACACACTAACAACTCCTATGCCCACACCTCATATTGTGAATTAGGTCTCATATTCTGATGAGTGCAGATCTGCTGACAACAAAACTGTCA